GACCCCTCTGCAAGGGGATCTCCAGTGGCCTACTAATGGGCTTTGGATCTCCACACCGCACTCCCCCCATCATTCACTATGGTAAGATTTTTGTTGTTGTTGTTCTGATGATGCCTTATACCTGATCCCTTCAACACCTCGTGATCGCATATTGCCTCGCTTTTCTTATCTGTAAAGGGGAGCGAATAGGGCTATTTTGCCTGTTAAGTGAGATACCTAGAGCAGTGTGTAGTAGCAACCAGTTTTAAGTCTGTAAAGACTTCCAGTGCATTCTTTAGTCTTTGCGATTGTTGGCTTTAAAGACAAAAAAGTATATAAAAACGTCTGCTTTGATTGCAGAAATAAGTGGTTGATGCTGAGGAAGACTACATTTTATTCATTGAATTTCTAAAAAACCTTTGCACAATTGGAGGATGACATTGAAAAATTAGTCATGATTTGGTAAGGCTTTCTAAAAGACTTTCATCATTAGCGGGATAAAATTTTCTTTATTAACATGTCTCTTTCAGGGTTATCTTCCTGATCCAAATTTTCTTTTTAACCAGTCAAACCAAATATATGTTCCCATCTCAAATTTGGGGTAATAAAAAAGTTCTTTCACTTGCCAATAGGAAATGGCAGAGTTTTAACTTATCCAACAAAATTTGCATGTGATAAGTTTTTACAACCCTAAATGCAAAGTACTTCTTACTCCCACATTAAATTACCCCCAAAGACGAGGACTGTCCAGTGTGGTATCCACTATTGCATGTGGTCAGGGACCACTTGAAATGCGACTTGTCTAAAGTACATTACCCAATTATGAAGGCTTCATTTACAGTTTATTTTTATACCTTCTCAATAACTTTATATGTTGCTTACATGGGGAAAAATGTAACATTGACCAACACACATTTTAGTACCTCAAAGGTTAGACTTGTTTCTGAGTATATTTGGCAGCACCGATTTTCCCCAATAGCACTAGTTTTTTAGATAGAGAGCATGCCATATACCACTGTGCTTACTCATTAAAAAGATCAGGATCTTTTAATGTAGCGGTAGCTAACCTGAGGTAGAGGAAGTGCACTCCACTCTCGCTTTATTTAAAGTAGTTTGTGTTGTATTAAATATTTAGATCAAGGTACACTTCACATGGTGTCAGTCCTCTGATCCAAAGACATATTTGAACAGTGTAAACTACATGAACTTGAAGTTTTCCCCAAGGATCATTTCACCTTTATTAAGGATTGAAGAACAGGCCATTCCAATTTGTTATCTTTAGGGGGAACCAGAAATAAGGGTTATTGTGCAATAAGTAAAGATCCCTGTTGGTGTGTAGTGGGTTATATGTTTGACTGCTGACCATAAGGTCAGCCATTCAAGCCCCTCTGCAAGAGAAAGACGAGGCTTTCTGCACTCATAAAGATTGACAGCCTCTGTAACTCACCACCAGAAGTCCTGCTCTGTCTTACAGGATCGCTGTGAGTCTTCATCGACCTACTGGTCATGAGTTTGGTACAGTAAATTCAAATAAAATGCTTTGAAACCCAAAATGGGTCTGTCAGAGTACAAACTCATTTATTAAAATTAAAATGCTCTGATCTTGTAAGATGGTACTTCACCTGTGCACAGAAACTCATCAAAGAAAAGTTAGAATATTTCTTATAAAGATGCTTGGAGTCAACCTCACCTCTGAAACATTCAACATGAATTATTAAAATGTGCCCTGAAATGTTTATTGCATAATTTGACGAGGGAAAAGTTAGATCTTCAAAACATCTGTGAACATTATTATGAAGCCTTTCTTAAATTTTCGATGCTCTGAATTGTCCACACACCTTCCAAATGTGTGCTTGTCTTCCACTCTTATTAAGCTGTGTTCTGACTTTGTGGTGTCCAACTTGTCGCCTGAATATACTGCACTACCTCTCATACCAAAAAGAAAAACACCCTGCCATCCAATGGGTTCTAACTCACAGTGACGCTAGAGGACAGAAAAGAACTGCCCCTTTGGTTTTCTAAGCCTTTAATCTTCTAAAGTCTTCAGAGTGACCTTATTGCGATTGGCAGCTAAATGTATAAGCTGGCCACCCTGGGTCCATATGCAGCTTCCCTTGGAAGGCCCTTCCTACTCAATTAATTTTCAAATATTTCTTATCTCTCTTTTTTTGTCTTATCCTGTAATTTGTGTGTCTGAATTCTTATATTTAAAATCAGGGTGATGAATTAATCAGTGAACATAACTCACTAGTTGAAAATAGTCGAGCCACCATCTCTACTAAACTAGAACTGATGAAGTCTAGCCAGTGCAGTCTTCTGAATCCACACTCCAAACAACTCCAGGACAAACCTAAAACCAAGACACCGTGAGAGGGTGTTTTGTTGTTGGGCTGTGTGATCCATTGTGGTGAGCTTGTTGATAAGTATGTTGTTAAAGTTAATGGCACCCATTTCTTTTGATTGTTTATGTGTTTCTATTAGAAACGTTTTTCTGTGTGTTGCATTATGAGACAGCACTGCTCTAGGCTTGGGGTGGCAAGTTATGGCCAAATCTACCTCAAATTCACCCAGACATCTGCTTTTTTCATGGTATTTTATTAGAACAGCCACACCCTTCATTTACATATTATCTATTCCTTAGAGCCACGGGAGTTGAGTGGTTGCAACAGAGACCCAAAACAAAACATAAAAGCACTTCAGTGCCATTATATCAATTCCGATACAGTGACCTGTTAGGGCAGGGTGGAACGGCCCCTGTGGGTTTCTAAGCCCTGTTGGTGTAGTTGTTACACGGTGGACTGCAATCCATGTGGTTAGCAGTTCGAAACCATCAGCAGCTCTATGGGAGAAAGACTGAGTTTTCTACTCCCTTGAACAATATAGCGTCAGAGCCCACAGGGGGGTCCCTATGAGTCATCATTAACCCAGTGACAGTGAGTTTTAAAACCCTTGTGGGAATAGAAAGCTTCATCTTTCTCCCACAGCTGGCCCACCAAACCTGAAATATGTACTGTCTTGTTCTTTACAGAGATGATTTGGGCCCTGTACTAGAGTGTAAACAAAAGATAGCCAATGTGTATCTTTACTTAACGTGGTGGAGACAGAATAAATTGATTGGCAATGAGGAAGAAGAATGAGGGGTGGTGTTTAATTTTGGCACCATGCAAATGCTCTGGAATTAGATAATGATCATATGTATACAGCTTTGAACATACTGAAAGCCGCTAAACTCCATATTCCAAGTGGGTATATGTTTCAATATGTGGATAGTGTCTCGTTTAAGTATGGATATGCACCTACTTTGGTAGATGGTATACAATGTTTTATTAAACATGATAAACTCCCAAAACCAGTAGGTTTTTTATGTATGCTCCCATTGTCATAAACCATTTTTAATGACTCTTAAAAGGTCATGCTATGTGAAAATATTTGAAAGTTTTGTTATTGATAGGAAAAATATGTAGCTGTCATTTATTGCTTATCTATAGAAGCCTCCCCCCCCCAAAAAAAAAAAGTTATAATCAAGATATTCTCTTAGCTGTAAACTTAAATTTATGGTAGTACTCCATACCTGATTTCAGCAAATAATTAGAAGAGCGAAGGTTGTTGTCTGTGGATTCACGTACGACTCTTAGCGACCCTCTCTCTATACAACAAAGTAAAGTGCTGGTTAGCTTGTGCCTTCCTCACGGTGGTTGCTATCTTTGAGTGCTGTGAGAAGGACAAATAGAAAGTATAGCTAACAACTGTTTTAAGAACTTTAATGATTTTCTCCTGGATGCACTTACATAAATGTTGAAAGCTTGGTAAGTTTTTTAGTGAGCTATTAGAAGGAGAAAAATGAAATTTATCAGAGGGAGTTGTAACACCAGCCTAAAATGTGTGTGTTGGAGTAGAGGTGGGTACCGTAGTTTATTTTTGCTGGATTCTTAAACACTATTCCATATAAAACCTGGGTATTTTCACCTTTCTTGGAAACTGACAAAATGTTACGTACTTTGTTTCATTGGCTCATTTGATATATAATAAGCAAAGGATGTGCCAACAAGCTGCTTTATGCAAACATTTTTAAAAATCAATCCTTGGAACAGCATTTCCTTCTACATAATAGCAATGGCTTTTCAGTTTATTGCTTTGATGATTTCATTTGACTGCACCTGGTTTTGTTTGTTGTAAGTTAGACAGACAGCGTGATGGCGATGGGCACAGGCGTTGTACTTGGGTGACCTGGTTTCTAACTTACTACCATGCTAGTTTCTATCGTTTACTAACGGTATGTGACCTCATCCTACTTGGTCTCTTTATTTCCTCATCTCTAAAATGGGAGTAATACCTTCCCCAGTGAATTTTATTTAAGGAATAAATAAGAAATGGAATGTAAATGTACTTAGTACAGAGTAATGACTCAAGTGGTTGCTTCCTATTACTGCGATTTCAAGTGTGTTAATTTAAAAAAAAATCAAACTAAGTTATTCTAGTTGTCAGTATCATACATTTCGTTATGTATTTTACTGACTTCTGCCTTAATCAAAAACCTAATGAAATATTGTTAAGTAACATTCTATTTTACTTTCAGTCAAAGAAAAATAAGAAGAAGTCAAAGTCAGAGGCTAAAGCAGTGCAGAACAGTTCACGCCATGATGGAAAGGAAGTTGATGAAGGTACTTGAGCAAGGGAAAGGACTTTAGGAAAACATTTTCATTTTTTTACCAAAGTATTATATAAAAACTGTGTTTATTTCACTTGAATTGTATATCTGTATCTCTTCTTTTTAATGACTACAAACCTTAATGTACAGTTCTACTAATACTGTTAAGAAACACTTGCTATCTGAGTTGTTTAAGGATCAACAGTGCCTTTCCTGAAGTGGGAACCACCTTGAAATTAAAATTGCTCAGTATCTTAAACAGTTAAGCAACCAGTTAATCTTTGTTTCTAAAAACGTGGTTTTGGTTTTTCTCCCGTTGTTCTTAAATATACCATGCCCTCGAAGGCCCAGGACAAAACTCCTGAGTCATTTTTTGTTAACGCCTAATGTACCCACTTATTTAGTGATTATACTTCACCTTCTCCTCTTACTTCTGCCAAGCAACATAAATACACAAGACGATATTGATCACCTTTTAAACCATAGGTGACAGGTTGGATGAAATTATTGCCTACATTTTAAAAATGAAAGTAAAGTAGATTTTTAGGGTAAATTAATATAATCACTCATGAGTTTTAGCGTAATATATAAATCTATCATATTTTGTGTGCCCCATCCCATTTTCTTCCCAAAGCTACAGCTCTTTCTGTCTCCCCTTACTGAATAACATTTTTTTTCTGGGGCTATGTCAGGAGCCTGGGAAACTAAAATTAGTCACAGAGAGAAACGACAGCAGCGTAAACGTGATAAGGTGCTGACTGATTCTGGTTCATTGGATTCAACTATCCCTGGGATAGAAAATACCATCACAGTTATCACCGAGCAACTTCCAACTGCATCATTTCCTGTTGGTTCCAAGAAGAATAAAGGTATATTAGTGGAATATAAGACTAATACATCAAATCAAATTTCCTTTTAATCAGATGTACAAACTATCTTGACATCAAAATCTGACTATTTTGAACTGCTTATATCATTGTGCTGATATACCCTTCTTCATGAGAGGATTGTGAACCATGTATTGGTTTACCTGGTACCAGCAATGTTACATGTTGCCTAATGAATGGCCTGTTAAACTAAAATTTGCCTTTTGCCTTGATTCACATGAGAAAATGATGTTGGCACTTCTTGTGTGTATTGCTTTGCCCCCGACTCTGTTGCATCCGCATTTTCTATAGTGGAAAAGACAGTGTGGCATTCCCACCATTGTGCATGTTGGGTGCTTTCCTTCCACGATGAACCGAGCATGTCAGGTCAGTGCAGGTCCTGACTGTATTCTGTATCGCCCCAAGTTTTTGAGAGTCTCCGGTGTTCGATAAAGCTGGAACTTCAACAATTAAAGAGCTCACATTCTTCCTCCTAAGTATTAGAAATGCTCGAACTGTCCAATAGCGATGGCCTCTTGGTAGCTCTTGTGCACTGCCATTCTGTTTATCCTTGACGAGCTCTGTCTGCAGTGGGGTGTTCAACTTGCTTCAAGGCATCAACTTCTCTTCCTTAACCTTCTTATTCATTGCCCTCCTCCAGTTGCCTTCAGACTACTTTCTTAGCCTTTTACTTTTTTGCTTGATGACTGGGTGGAATTTATTGCCGTGGTGCAGCAATGACTTCTACTGAATCCATTTTTCATTGTTTGGCGTTACCTGTGCTTTAGTTTTTGTTGGTAACCCTCCTTCATTGTCTTGTGCATGCCTTCCCTGCTA